CGTGGTCACTCCCTCTCACCTGTGCAGTCGTGGTCACTCTCTCTCCCACTCACCTGTGCAGTCGTGGTCACTCCCTCTCACCTGTGCAGTTGTGGTCTCTCTCGCTCCCTCTCACCTGTGCAGTCGTGGTCTCTCTCACTCCCTCTCACCTGTGCAGTCGTGGTCTCTCTCGCTCCCTCTCACCTGTGCAGTTGTGGTCTCTCTCGCTCCCGCTCACCTGTGCAGTCGTGGTCTCTCTCACTCCCTCTCACCTGTGCAGTTGTGGTCTCTCTCACTCCCTCTCACCTGTGCAGTTGTGGTCTCTCTCGCTCCCTCTCACCTGTGCAGTTGTGGTCTCTCTCACTCCCTCTCACCTGTGCAGTTGTGGTCTCTCTCACTCCCTCTCACCTGTGCAGTTGTGGTCTCTCTCACTCCCTCTCACCTGTGCAGTTGTGGTCTCTCTCACTCCCTCTCACCTGTGCAGTCGTGGTCTCTCTCTCACCTGTGGTCAATGATAACTCTCAGGTGGAGATGGTTGAGGATTGTGAGTTCCTTGGTCTAATTTTGTGCAACTGTTTGAGATGGGACAAAAACACAAACCACACTGTTATGAAAGCTCGCCAATGTCTATACTTTCTGTGGAAACTTTGATTTTGCTGAACTTTTACCGCCGCACCATAGAAAGCCTGCTGCTGGTGCGATCACCGGCAGCACCACAGCCAAACAAAAGAGAGCTCTGAGCCGTGAGAAGCCCGTTCTGGAGGCTCTGTCTGAGAGCAGACTCTTGAACCGAGCCCTGAGGATCGTAAATGTCTCCTCTGGTCATCCTGGAGCGGCCTTGTTCCAGCCTCTTCCCTCGGGGAGAAGACCACCCGCCGTGCCAATAGCTTCTTCCCTCAGGCGGTTATAAGCCTGAACAGAGCGCCCTGAGATCTGCTTCTGTTGGAGCTCTTCATAGCTTTTCATTTTGCTTTTAAGTGTTTTATATTTGCCTCACTGTGTCTCCAGAACTTATCAAACCAATACAAAACAACAGAAAATCTAAACCGTGACACACACATTTAATACTTTACATATTACGTCACATCAACACTTCTTAGTTTCCCTTCAACATCCTTCACACACTGCTTCACTCGCACCATCAATGTCTGCTGAAGAGCCCCCCCCATGTGCCCCCCCCCCACCCCCACCCCCCCATGTGGCCCCCGTGACACACCTTCTCCTTTGTTGAGTTCCAGCGAAGGCCACGGCTAACGCTAACATGAGCGGACGGTCACGTTAGCGTTAGCCGTAGTGTCCGCTCAGATGAACAGAACCTCCAGCTGAGGCCCATCTCCGCCTCCTCTCTCTTCTCTGGCTCTTTCTTCTGCTTCTGGTCGATGTGGGCAGTTCCCAGAGCAGAGAGAGTGCTGCCTCAGCCCCGTCTCTGAGGACGATCCACTCAAAAGGACGTCACAGTCACTTCAAAAACGGTTTAAAGTGAAAGAAGAAAGAGAGAAATGTTGCAGAATCATCAGGATGAGAATGTTTGGAAAGAGAAGAACAAACGGCAGGCTGTGTTTACGCCACGGAGACGGTTTAACTCAGACTGAGGAGAAATGACAGCAGCGCTCGGGCCAAAGAACACGATAGGACAAGAAATAAGATCAAAGATGTTTCCTCACAAATAACACTTACACTGCAAAAACATGACAAAGGGTTTGGCAATACTCGAATCAGGGGTTTTTACCTTAATTCACAGTCTTAAAACAAGATTCACCGATGGAACAAGTCATGTAGTCTAGTTTTAATTATTTCTAGGTTTTTCTGTTTAAAACAAGAGATTTTTTTGTTCTTTTGTCATATATTTTAAACAGTAAAAAATGTGCTCAAATTAAGATAAAAACACATGATTCATGCATTCATTAAATTATTTGTTGTTGTTTTTTGTGTATTGTTTGTCTTAATAGAAACAATGTATGTAGAAAAATAAAACATCACAAACTTATTTTATCTAAACAAGAAAAGTCTGGAAATAATAAAAAATACTTAAAAGAAGCTTAAAAACTCACTGCTCAGACTTTTTCACCAAGATTAGGAACTGTGTTAAAACTAAAAACATAATCTTATGACAAACTACATCAAAGCAACAAAAAAATTTAAAAAGTGAGCATTATTTATGTTATTTTTAGAGAATAAATCTGATCAAAATGTTTCTTTTTTCACTGTGTTTCTTATCTCTGCATTTCTTGGGTTGGATTTTCTGATCTGTGTTGGTGAATCGACAGCTTTGTAAAATCCTCTGAGAAAACTATCACAAATACTGCTGAGATTTAAGGCGATACAAAAATACATTAAATTCAAATCATTAAAGTAAGTTTGATTTCACTTTTCTGTTTAAAAATGCAAAAGCCCAAAACCCACACGTATAATGAGAAGAAGGATCCATTTCCTGTTTGCAGTGACACAGCCTCAGTTGAACCGAAGCAAAGATACATACGGCTCTTATTCACGCCCAGCACTTACTCCGTCCTCCACAGCAGCACTTAAGAACGGATTTATTTTTTGGAGGAAGTATACGGCCGCCTCTCAGACCGCACTTGGCGACCGGTGATGAAGAACCAGCTGCAGACGCCAAAGTAAATCAAGAGCTCTTCAGACGCCTTTGTGCCTCGACAAGTGAGAGTCAATGTGTTTTCACCTGCTTTAACCAAGGGCCTCTCGTTTATATATGTCCCCTTTAAGACCATGTACGTCTGGTCTTACCATGTGTAAACTCTGGTCCATGATCATCTCCTACATGTACGTCTGGTCTTACCATGTGTAAACTCTGGTCCATGATCATCTCCTACATGTACGTCTGGTCTTACCATGTGTAAACTCTGGTCCATGGAGAATGCGATAGTAAAATAATCTGTTCTGGTTCAATCCAAATGAAGCCGGAGCAAGAGGAATGTTTAGTAAATGTCATTGAAGCAAAGATGTTGTGGCTCTACTCCCCACGGGCTCCGTTAGTGACAAAGGAGATGGCTAAAGCTAGGCTACATGCTAAAGCTAGGCTACATGCTAAAGCTAGGCTACATGCTAAAGCTAGGCTAAATGCTAACTGCCTCACTCACACTCACTCAACCCACCTGTTACCGGAGTCAACGGAGCAGATCCAGACCTTAGTATGAAATGAGTACCGTGGTGTGGTAAGACCAGGCTAAGGCCATGCAGGTCTCATGTGAAATAACCAATGACCTCAACTTCTTATGGCTCACACACCAGGAGATTTTCATGTTTGTCAGTATAGTTATTGTTCACCTTGTGCTGTGTGAGTTTTACTGCTCTAACTGTTGATGCAACACTGACATTTCCCACTGTGACCAATAAAGTTTCATCTTAAAGCTCATTATTGTTACATTCATCTTCTTCTCCCGCTTCATCCGTTGCCGGGTCGCGGGGGCAGCAGTCTAAGCAGAGACGCCCAGACTTCCCTATCCACACACACTTCCTCCAGCTCGTCCGGGGGGACCCCAAGGCGTTCCCAGGCCAGCTGAGAGACATAGTCCCTCCAGCGTGTCCTAGGTCTTCCGCGGGGCCTCCTCCCGGTGGGACGTGCCCGGAACACCTCCCCAGGGAGGCGTCCAGGAGGCATCCGGGACAGATGCCCGAGCCACCTCAACTGGTTCCTCTCGACGTGGAGAAGCAGCGGCTCTACTCCGAGCTCCTCCCGTGTGACCGAGCTCCTCACCCTATCTCTAAGGGAGCAGCGGCTCTACTCCGAGCTCCTCCCGTGTGACCGAGCTCCTCACCCTATCTCTAAGGGAGCAGCCACTCTGCGGAGGAAGCTCATTTCGACCGCTTGTATCCGCGATCTCGTTCTTTCGGTTATTACCCAAAGCTCATGACCATAGGTGAGGGAGGGAACGAAGATTGACCGGTAAATCGAGAGCTTTGCCTTTCGGCTCAGCTCCCTCTTTACCACAACGGTCCGATACAGCTCTGACTGCAGACGCTGCTCCCTCTTTACCACAACGGTCCGATACAGCTCTGACTGCAGACGCTGCTCCCTCTTTACCACAACGGTCCGATACAGCTCTGACTGCAGACGCTGCTCCCTCTTTACCACAACGGTCCGATACAGCTCTGACTGCAGACGCTGCTCCCTCTTTACCACAACGGTCCGATACAGCGACCGCATCACTGCGCACGCTGCACCGATCCGCCTGTCAATCTCACGCTCCATCCTTCCCTCACTCGTGAACAAGACCCCGAGATACTTGAACTCCTCCACTTGAGGAAGGACCTCTCCACCCACCTGCAGAGGGCAAGGCACCTTTTTCCGGTCGAGCACCATGGCCTCAGATTTGGAGGTGCTGATTCTCATCCCAGCCGCTTCACACTCGGCTGCAAACCGTCCCAGTGCATGTTGCAGGTCCTGGTTCGTTGGAGCCAACAGGACATCATCGTCCTCAAACAGCAGAGTTTAAATCCTGTGGTCCCCGAACCGGACCCCCTCCGGCCCCTGGCTGCGCCTAGAAATTCTGTCCATAAATACAGTGAACAGAACCGATGACAAAGGGCAGCCCTGGCGGAGGCCAACATGCACCGGGAACAGGTCTGACTTACTGCCGGCAATGCGAACACAGCTCTGGCTCCGGTCATACAGGGACCGGACGGCCCTCAGCAGAGGACCCCGGACCCCGTACTCCCGGAGGACCCCCCAAAGGACACCCCGGGGAACACGGTCGAACGCCTTCTCCAAATCCACAAAGCACATGTGGACAGGTTGGGCGAACTCCCATGAACTCTCAAGTATCCGATGGAAAGTGTAGAGATTAGTATGGAGATTAGATGTTACATTCATCTAATCTCCAAACACAGAAAAGCAAGAGCAGAATAACATCACCGTCTAAAGTCGTAAAGTGGCGTTCGATCTCCAGCTCCATGAAGGCGTTTGGGGCCGAACCTCCGCTTGAGACGCACCTGATGAACTGCACTAAGCTCAGAGCGGCGAAATCCTACGCTCCCTATACCCCCTACTCACCCTACTCTCCCTAGAGGAAAGAGGCGGGGGAGAGGAAGGAGGTGGGGGAGGCAAGGGAGGGTTGGGGGTAAAGAGGGAGGCTGGGGAGGAGGGGGAGGCGGAGGAAAGGAGGGAGGTGGGGGAAGCAGGAGAGAGTATCAAAATAGGCCAATGGAGATGGAGGCATGGGAGAAGAGGGAGGTGGGGGAGGCAGGGTGAGAGAAATAGGCCGATGGAGACAGAGAACGAGGGAGGCGGGTGAGGCGGGGGGGAGAAACATGCCGATGGAGACAGATGGAGGACGGAGCAGGTTGCGACAACAAGCCTGGTCTCATATCGCCTTTAGAAACTCAGGGCTGTTTCTGTTTCTGTCGCTGCTGTGAAGGGCCGCGAACCCAAAGAGACGGCGAGTGCTGCTGAGAGAGATAAATGGGTTTAATGTTTCTGAGAGAACGCTGGCTCCGAGACATTAGTTTGATATTATTCTATCAAAGGCTGGCGCTTGGAACCTGCTCAGAAATGAATCAACAAGACAAACCTGAGCCTCTGGTTATGGGACTGAGGGGGGCTTTCCCAGAAGCATGTTTAATGTGTGTTTCTACCTCTTTGTGCAGTTTTAGCCTGTGTTGAGGGGCCGATGGCACAGACTGATTGCCTCGCCTCTGTCAGTGTGCCCCAGGGCAGCTGTGGCAACATTAGTAGTTTGTCACCACCATGTTTGGAGTGAAAGAATAATGTGTGAAGCGTCTGAAAAGCGCTGTATAAACCCGATGCATCATTATTATTAACGGAGTGACTTCTTTTACCATCTGACACCTTGGATAGCTTCCGCAGAGCTGGCGCGTAACAAACACATTCACAGGTAGACATTTGTAACAGAGACTGAGACCAAAGCAAACATCATCGCTCCATGAAACCGTGGCCTTTCATCCCGGAGCCAAACCCCGGAATCCTCGCACTCAGCTGTACTTCACACAACACATCGACTGGAAACGTTTTTATTTTGCAAATGAGGCTTTTTGATGTTTCTCGGGTCAGCATCAGCCGCGGGGGACGCTGTGTTTGAACCTGGCTCTGATGGATCTCATCAGCGCCGCCACCTCCCGGTTCTGGATCCCGTCGCTTGGACCGCACTTCTGTAACATGTATGTCGCAAGATTTAGATACAAAATAATATTAAACTAAGATGAAACTGGTTTAAAAGTGAGACGATGCTTAATGAAAATGAGAACTTTTTTTTGTTTTAATGTATTGTGAAGGTAAATATGTACAGAAATATACAGTGTGTGTGTGCTGTTGGTTTCAATGATGGGGTAATGTCCTTGTGTGAAAGCAGCAGTAGTTGAACTGAATGTGTGTATTATTGTCCCAAAGCGTTGGAAGTGTGTGAGTTTTTTGTCTGCAGAGCCTCCAACCACAGCCGCAGAATCAAAAGGATGTAGTGTCTCCCAGAGTAATAAGGACCTGGCCTGTGTGGAGAAAACCAGTGTTTCAGTCCATGGTTTTAATATTAATTATTACAATAATTCTAACTTTAAAAAAATAAATAGTAACAATACATACATGTGTAAACACATTGACACATTTCAATACATTATAATTACTCCCACTGTTAAGAGGCTAAAGTGAATACAGATTTATCAACACAATCCCATGGGTCACTTACATACACAAGGTGGCTGCCGCTAGCGCCGCTGTTGGACTGGTCCCAGCAGGAGTCCAGTCCCTGTGCTCCTCAGAGTCCCAGCAGGAGGCCAGTCCCTGTGCTCCTCAGAGTCCCAGCAGGAGTCCAGTCCCTGTGCTCCTCAGAGTCCCAGCAGGAGGCCAGTCCCTGTGCTCCTCAGAGTCCCATCAGGAGGCCAGTCCCTGTGCTCCTCAGAGTCCCAGCAGGAGGCCAGTCCCTGTGCTCCTCAGAGTCCCAGCAGGAGGCCAGTCCCTGTGCTCCTCAGAGTCCCAGCAGGAGGCCAGTCCCTGTGCTCCTCAGAGGATTAGATTTGGGGGTGTAAAGTGTGGAGACGGCGTGCTGCCAGTTCTATAATCTGCTGCTGGATTATCGTGGTCGTGATGCCCTGCTGCCGTTTGCATCCGGAGCTTTTCATCTGAAGCCGTGAGGAAGACCCACCATCATCATCATCATCATCATCATCACACCACAGTTCATCAGGCTAGAGAAAAGTATGATCACATTTAACTTCAAACCATGATAAATATGTAAGAAAATCCCAATAAAATCCATATTATCACTTCTATGCCGTGCTACAGTTAGAGGTGTTATTGTTCATTTGTCTTGAACACTCCTAGACCAGTTTGTGACAGTCCTAGTTTTAAATGTAAAAAGGAGCATGTGAAGGAGTAGTCTCCACTCCTCACCCACAGGTGTATCCTTCCTGTTTTATTTTGAAATATTTAGCTTTGTTTATATTCCCTGTCCCTAACTCTCCCTTTTCCCCTCTTGGAAGGTGATTGGTGGAGGAGCTGGCTGGAGGCGCGCCCATCCCAGTGCATGCCAGGTGCACCCAACTGAGCAAACAGCTGGGCTCCACCATGATCCTCCAAGAGAGGGGTGTTTCATTGGGACTAAACATAATATATACATACATCAAATACCAAAGCTGTTAAAAAACACCACCACTAATTTCAAATTACTATAAATTATGATTATAATATATCTGCATAAATTAAAGATGTAAATAGTTATAAATATTTTGTAAATAGTGTAAGGCTACATTGTTGTGTCCCTGGGCGGGTGGAGGTTTTGGTTTGGGCCACTGTATAAAAAGAGGATTCCATTTGAACGGGGTGTTCCTGTTGTGTGCATGGGGGGATGCTGCCCAAATAAATAAGACCTCTTTTGTGAAAATCTGCAACATTTGGATCTTTGTTTGTTTCCCGTCCTGGTGAGAGGCTGTCCCAGTAGCTCAAACGCTACAGAGCATTTACCGCCCTCTCCACTTTTTGCACAAATCTCTCTGGTCTGCTTGGACGAGCTCGTATCACCAGAATGATTGACACTTGAGAGGACCAATAGTCTTGATGATCCACCCAGAGGCAGAACATCCTCCTGTAAACCTTTAAAGGGGACATATCATGAAAAATCCACTTTTTGTGCCTTAAATGCCTTATGTTGTGAAGTTGGAGCCTCTAGAAGTGCAAAAAAGTTGAAATCAGTCTCTTCATGGGTTGCAGAGAACACTTCATATTCTGTTTAGGTAAGATTTTTCAACCTGTTCTGATTTTGCCATTCTCTATTACGTGTTTAGAATTATTACGTCACAGTGTTTACAGTGAGACTGCTATATAAGGGCATGGGCGTCTAACAAAACACTTCGGCCCAGCCCTCCTCTACTGTGCATCACTTAACTTGTAGTCCAAGCTCAAGAATGCCAGCGCACAGGGCTGGACTGGCCATCGGGCGTACCGGGCAATGCCCAAAGGGCCGATGCCCATATTTGGGCCGGTCTGTCTGCCTCATACAAAACACATGTTTATGAGAAGTGTAAATCCGTTGAGAATTGTTGGAGCGGGGCGCGCGTATCCGCGGGGCACCTGCTGTATGTACTCGAACGGGATTCCACCACCTCAGCGGCCGCAGTGTTCCGGGGCATCTGCGGCCGCTTTGTAATGAGCAGCTTCCGTGTCCAGCGGCTGCGAGAGGCTGTGAGCGTCCAGCCGCTCGCAGCCGCTCCACCGTGTTGTGGCTGAGCGCGCAGCCTCAACGTGGCCATGTACCCAACCCCATAAACGTGCACAGGACCATGCGTGTCTTTGAGTAATCTGTGAACCCAATAAATACACTGCTGCAGGAAACAGTCCGCGTCTCCCCCTCCTCTCGAAGCGCGATTAAACGCCCTAAATAAAGCTCTGATACCTACATTTTGCATTGCATTAAAAGTTCATGTTTGAGCCCAAAAGTAAAATGTTGTGAACAAATTAAACAGATTTAGAGCCAGCAAATGGCTGACAATATGCATTTCAGTCTTTTTTGACCAATTCTCATCCCTGTAACAAACAATAGTGTTGTCTGTGTTCACCTCCCTCACTCTGAGACATGTTCATTACTCTCTTTAATGCAGACTATTGCATTTTATTTTATTGTTGAAACTGCACATATCCTGATCCTCTACAGTATTTGCTTCCACATACTGTATAAACTAGGAGTCGGCAACCTGCGGCTCCGGAGGCGCATGCGTCTTTTTCCTTCTGTAGAAGGAAAAACGTTCTTAACGTTTTTAAATGCTGTAAAATTGTGCATAAGTAATATTCAATTTAAACATTTCTGTCAATGTAGTGCATGATATCCTGCGACGTAGGCCCGCGCCAGGCGGCCGCTGTTGTAAACAAACCGGCGTGTGAGTATCATAGACTGTGCGCATGGATCCCAAAGCTAAAAAGAGAAGAGTCGATAATAAGACTGGACTAAGAATTAAACTTAACATTTGCTTTCAGTCAATGAGGAAGGACTGCTTCATGTTTGTGATGTAATGAGAAGTTTCTATGAGATAATTGTATCTGTGCTTAGAAACTACAAAAATGGCCGCTCGGGGTGGAGTTGAACCTGTGTCACCTGGATGGGGGCGTGGTCAAAAGCGCCTCATTTGCATTTAAAGAGACAGCACCAAAACAGGTTGCTCTCAGACGCACCTCAGAACAGGTTTAGAAGAAAGGCCCGTGGAGCTACAAATAATGAGACTCAGACCCAGGCATTGCAGTTACGCTTTCTATAGGCCACAAATGAATGATTTAGATGTAATAATCAATTATTTGAAAACACGATATGTCCACTTTAATGACCGGGATCACGGCTGCTGTGGGGATCTGCAGTTTACACAGTCTCAGATCAGCTTCAGGCGTCGGGAACGAGCCACACCTCTCTCCTCACTAACAATCTTTGTCTTTGTGCTAAGAATAATACAACAAGGATATTTTTCATGTCTCAGCGAAACTCTGTGTCCTGAGGAGAGGGGGGGGGGGTGACCTGAAGGGGGCTCTACAGTCTCAGCACCGGACTGTTTCAGAAATACAGAGAGAGACCAGAGAGAGACCAGAGAGAGACCAGAGAGAGACCAGAGAGAGACCAGAGAGAGACCAGAGAGAGACCAGAGAGAGACCAGAGAGAGACCAGAGAGAGACCAGAGAGAGACCAGAGAGAGACCAGAGAGAGACCAGAGAGAGACCAGAGAGAAATACCAGAGAGACAGAAACCATAGAGAGACACACAAGAAAGAGAGACCAGAGAGAGACCAGAGAGAGACCAGAGAGAGAGACCAGAGAGAGACCAGA